ACTTCGTCACTCAACTTGCCACCTGATGGCCCTTCTCCTCTCTCTCTCTCTCTCTCTCTCTCTCTCTCTCTCTCTCTCTCTCTCCCCCCTAAGATAATGCCTCACTATGTCGTTCACACTGACCTCAAGCTTGTGTTTCTCATGCCTCATTCTTCCAAATGCTGGAATAACAAGCATGCGCCACCACACCCAGCTAAGCTTTCATTTTTAATTTTGCAAATCTATCAATTTTCTCTCAGGGAATAATCCCCCTAGGTAGAGTAGCCCTAGCCCTGGCACGACCTTGTAGCCACATTAACCTACACAAGGAAAAATATTTCCTGCACCAAAAACTATCCCTTGCTTAACTGGGCTGTTCACTGCTGGCTGGCTCGCAGTGAACAATTCAGAGTCACACAGACTTAACGCATAACATATACTACATAATGCATAATATTTTCTGCATAACTGACGGTCATCGTTTGCTGGTTTTTATCGTGCTGCTTGCTGGTTTGTCTTGCACCTGAAACCCAGCTTGGTTTTTCTCCCTGGTGTCTGTGGCCCATTTAGGAAATTGAGAAGGCCTGGAAGATGGTGGACTCGGCCTACGACAAGGAGCAGAAGGCCAAGGAGACGATTCTGGCCCTGAAAGAGGAAATAGTCAACCTAACCAAGCTCGTCGAGCAGGGTTCTGGACTGTCACTGAACCAGGACAGCAAGTAGGTCGACGTCTTCTCAATGTACCTGAGCTTCCGCCTACAGAGGCCACCCGCAAGTCCTGGCTGTGTATGGTTGGAGCGGCCGCCAGGCACAGGCAGATGTCTTAAACAGTTCTCTGAAGTGCAAAGCTCTCTGCTCCCTGACATTATTTTCTGTTGTGATTTTACTTTTTTAATATTCTTTTCTCTGCACTTGTTCATGGTGACAACTTTTTTCTGGTTTCTTTTGTCATTTATTTCAAGTTTCATTGCACTGTGGTCAGATAATATACATGGGATAATTGCTGTTTTCTTACACATACTTAAGCATGACCTATGGACCAGTATGTGGTCTATTTTAGAAAATGACCCATGTGCAGCTGAGAAAAATGTGTATTCAGCTGTGTTTGGGTGGAA